GGGGAGGCGCGGAAAGTTTGGGACAGCAGGAGCGGGACCCGATTTGTGCTGCGTGTGCGTCAGTGTGTGAGAGAGAGCCGAGCTGTCTCTGTGAGGGGTGTGTGTGTGTGTGTGTGTGCGCGCGCGCTCTGTATGAGCGGGGTGTGTGTGTGTGAGGGGATGCTCTCTCTGTGTGTATGAGCTGGTGTGTGTGTGAGAGAGAGAGAGCGCGGAAAGTTTGGGACAGCAGGAGCGGGACCCGATTTGTGCTGCGTGTGCGTCAGTGTGTGAGAGAGAGCCGAGCTGTCTCTGTGAGGGGTGTGTGTGTGTGTGTGTGTGCGCGCGCGCTCTGTATGAGCGGGGTGTGTGTGTGTGAGGGGATGCTCTCTCTGTGTGTATGAGCTGGTGTGTGTGTGAGAGAGAGAGAGAGAGAGAGGGGATGCGCTCTCTCCCTGTGTATGAGCTGGGGGGATGTGCGCGCGCGGGTGTCTATGTGTAGCAGATGTGGGGTGTGTGTGTAAGGATGTTCTGTGTGTGTATGAGCTGGGGTGTGTGTGTGTACGGGTATCTAGGTGTAGCAGATGTGAAGTGTGTGTGAGGGGGTGCTCTGTGTGTGTGTGTGTATGAGCTGGGGTGTCGGTGTGAGGTGCTGTATGTGTATGGGCTGGGCTCTGTGCCTGTGTGTGAGGAGGTGTGAGGGGATGCTGTGAGCTGTGTGCACGGGCAAGGGTATGTGAGGGAATGCTGGTGTATGTAGGTGCTGGCTGGAATAAGGGGGTGTGTACAGGGGTGGGGTGCTCTGGTGTGTGAGGGAGTGCTGAGGTGTGTATGTGTGCTGGGGATGCTTGTGTGCGCTAAGGTATAAGAGAGTGTTGGGGTGCAGGTGTGTGCTCTGTGTGTGTGTGTGTGCTGGAGTATGGGAGTCTGCGGGAGAGGGGTGCTGTGGTGTGTCAGGGCGTTGTGGAGTGTGCATGTGTGTTGGGGATATGAGGAGGTGCTAGGGTTTCTGTCTGTGCTGAGGTAAAAGGGGTGGGAGGGGTGCTGGAGTGTTTGTGTGTATGCTTGGGTGGGAAGAACCAACCTTTGCATTTAAAACCAAACCCTGCCAAACCCCTTGAGCAGTGCAAATCAGAGGTTCCCTGGTGTTCTGGGGGAAGACACCACAGGTAATTGGAGAGGGGAGGGGTGCAGGGTTCCCTGCCTTTCCTAGCTCAGGACTCCTGCTGGTGAGAGCATCTGGTGAATCCGTGGGGCTAGCAGCAGATCTCCCAAGCAAGGCCCCATGGAGAACGAGACCTTGGGCTTCGGGCCCCCTCCAGGCAACAGCAGCATCAACCAGACTCTAGGGAAGATGCCCCAGCACTCCCTGGAGCTGCAGGTGGTGACCATCCTGCTGGTGCTGCTGATCTGCGGGGTGGGCATCGCGGGGAACATCATGGTGGTTCTGGTGGTGTTGCGCACCAAGCACATGGTGACCCCCACTAACTGCTACCTGGTGAGCCTGGCCGTGGCGGACCTGATCGTGCTGCTGGCAGCGGGGCTGCCTAACATCTCGGGCATCAACATCTCGGCGTGTTCCATCACCGCCTTCACGGTGGAGCGCTACATCGCCATCTGCCACTCCATCAAAGCGCAGCTGCTGTGCACCGTGGCCCGGGCCAAGCGCATTATCGCTTGTGTCTGGCTCTTCACCTCCCTCTATTGCCTGATGTGGTTCTTCCTGGTGGACACGGCCCAGGCCACCTTCTCGGATGGGGCGCAGGTCAGCTGTGGCTACAAGGTCTCCAGGAACCTCTACCTGCCTATCTACTTTCTGGACTTCGCCATCTTCTACGTCATCCCGCTGGGGCTGGCCACTGTCCTGTATGGCCTCATTGCCCGCATCCTTTTCATGAGCCCCCTGCCCGCCACCCCCCAGGACCTCGGCAGGCTCAGCTCCACGCACCAGGGCAAGCCCCCAAGCTCCAGCCAGGGCAACAAGGGGGCTCTGAGCTCCAGGAAACAGGTAAAGCCTGAAATACAGTCTGCTGCTCCTTCTTGCTGCACCAGAAAGGGGGAGGATGTGTGTGGTTGGGAGGGTGGGTGGAGGGCACACGAGAGGTCGAACGGGGCAGGGACTGGAGGTATCAGAGGGTGGAGAAGGACGGGCTGTTGTGCCTGAAGGGGATTTTCCCCCTCCTTTCCTGTGTTCCTAAAAATAAGTTTTCACTCTCTAGCTCTCATGCGTTATAAATACTCTGGGAGTTGGCCTGAGGCATTTTTTTCTCTTGGTGTCCTGGAATGGGCGAGGGTAAGTCAGTGCATTGCCCAGCTGTCCTGGGCAGGATGGATTAAAGGAATCAGTCTGGTGTCTGCTTAGGACAGTGTTTCCCAATTTTATTTGGCCTGGAACCCTTTTCAGCTTAAAAGAATTTCAAGGAACCCCTAGTGTTTCCAGGGTAAAATTTGTCAAAAAAAAAAAAATTGGAGAGCCAAAAAAAAAAAAAAAAAAAAAGCTACAAAATAGACTGTCTCTTTAAGAAGGTTCAGGGGAGTGCTGCGTTTTTGCGGAACCCTTACTTTCAATTCACGGAACCCCAGGGTTCCATGGAGCACCAATTGGGAAACACTGGCTTAGGAAGTCATCATAAGCCTGTGGAGTTGCCTTGCGCTGGAGTTTAGCAGTGGGGCAGAATCTCGTAGAACTGTGACCCTGAGCCCTGACTTGGCCCTTTTTGGAACGCCAGTTATTCAATGACACCTGGTGGGGTTCTCTAGGAGCTTTTTCTCCTGGAACACCCCCCAAAGTCGGCAGACTTTCCAACAAAGCCCAGAGTTTTGTGCATGTACATGACTGATCGACCCCTCCCCATCTCCAGCAGCCGTCAGCAACAATGTGCGGGAATAGAGCAGAGAGCAGAGGAATAGTGCTATTGCCTTTTTTTCTATTTCAGGTTTTCTTTCCCTTCCCTGTGCAATGAAATGAGGAGAAAAGGAGCGACAGCTGATAAAAAGGCTGAGTTCTTTTAAAAGGTCCCTGACCACCCAGGGACATTGGTTTGCATCCCATAGACCCTGTCTAAGCGGAGAAGGCAGAGAAACGGTTGCCTTGTGCACCACCAGAGAGGGAAGCATTCCGCAGGAACGGAGCAGTCCTGGCTAGACGTTATTGTTGCAGGATAGCTACTAATGTGCTCTATGATTAAAGGGGTGGTCGATGTTATCACAATGTAACCTGATCTTTACTCCCAAACGGATCATGGTTAATTAACCCTTCTAGTTTAAAATCGCCAAGGAAGAGGCGATCTGATGGGACACAGCTCACCAGACCGGAGTGCCACGCTCAAATTCCCATTCTTTCCTGAGCAAATAGCATACAAATTAATTCAGGGGAGCAAACTCTCCTTCAGTAAAAAAAAAAAAGGAGCTGTCCTCCAGCAGGGGGAGACGTTTCCCTTTCTTTGCCGGTTAGTCCCTGTTTGGCTAAATTGTTCCTGTTAGCGTTCACCGCTCTGTCTGGATGTGCTTTCATTCTCTGCCTAATCCGCACTTTAGCTCGACAATAATTATCTGAAACCTTATTATCCTCCTCCCATTAGTAGACAGTCACAGGGTCCCGATGTGGGACTGTCAGTCTCCCGGAACAGGCAGCTGACACAAGGAAAAAGTTGGGCAGCACTTTCCCATTCAAGTTCGATTGAGCCATTGGGATTTGTGAAACTTAAAAAAAATGCAGCCAAGATGAGGGGAATTTTTTTAAAACAAACCTTAGATATGGGATGCTGATGTTAATTTCTATGGCTAGCTCCTTAGGGCTTTTAGCCAAGTGGAGCCTATCTTTTTACCCGTCTCAACATGACTTCTCTTTTTACACCTGAACTTTGACTATATTAGACAGCTTTTCCACTGGTGCAGGGAGGCAGGACCGGATAGGAACAGGTGCCATTTCTAGAGCTGCCTAATGAATCCAAGCAGGGAGTGAGTCACTGCATCTCAGAGAGGAGACAGTTGTGAAATACCAGGTGCAATAGAATAGAACTCTGTATATGGATTTCCTAAATTGTATGTGTGCATATGTTTCCAATCTTTCTCCTTTAACTCTCTGTCTCTTTAACTGGATGAAATGGTAGCATTTGAAATAAAGGAAAGGAAGTTGGGTAGACATGTAAATAATAGGCAAGTGATGCTTTTTGGGATTATGCTTGATAATTGTGGAGCTTTGCACTGCACAACATAACACTTTCAACTCTCTTCAGTAACAATTATTGACTCTGTACGCCCAGCGGAGACCTGTTGATTCCGCTTGTGGAGGCAGACTCAAGATATTTGCCGTCCAAACACACTGTCTCATTTTGGTCACGCCTTAATGCATTGTTTATAAGGAGACCTCCATAACATTCTGAGACTAGGGCTCTCTGGTTTGTATCAGGTTTCTAATGGTCTTTTTGATCTGCCAGTGCTTGATAGTCCCTGAATGAGGCTGAGATATGAAATATATAAAATAAAATATTATATTATATTAATAATTAATTATTATTATTTCCCACCTGTAGCTCTTAAAGCATTTTAAAAAGGTGGATCAGTATCATTAACTCCTCATATAAGTGAGGAAACAGAGGCACAGAGATATGAAAAGTATAGCCCACAGTCACATGGCAAAAGCAGAAAGAGACCATGCATCTCCCGTTCCTAGCCCTGTCTGGATTGCATTGCCCCCTTCTGGATCTATCTGAATTATTAAGCTGTGTGATCCATCAGGTGAGCCAATTTGGTGAGACACAGGGACCCCTTACTGGAAGAAATGTTATGATGAGAAATAAACTTCGGAAATATTGGGAGACAGTGAGCAGGAAGGTACCTTCCAAACTGTAGCTCAGGCTTCACTGCCCTGAGACTGACAGCCAGAATTTTCTGTTCAGATTGAGTGCCTAGTTAAAGATCACTTTAAAGAGCTTTCCTCATTATTTCCCTCTCTAAAAGATCTCAATATCGGCAGAGCCAGAGCAAGTGTTGGAGGCAATAAGATAACTGCAGCCATAGGGGAAACGCCACAAAACACAGTTGGGAGTGACCAAATGTGAGACTACATGAGACCTGAAGCCATATTAAGGGACATCAGCCAGAGGATAATCAGAAGTGGGGTGTGATATGCATCCCTCTCAAACGCACACATTCAACTCCAGTGCTTGTATATCTTTGCAGGTTATTAGTTGCTGCAGTTGAAAATGTTTCTCTTCCTTTGCTGATTCTAGTTCCATTTTCAGAAATTAGAAAACTGAAAGATTTTGTAAACTTGCTTTTTTGTCTTCTAACTTTCCTGTCATGATATTGTTAAATTTGACAGGGGACATAGTCATATGTTAAGATCAAGGATGCTCTGAAAGCTGGAGAGAACTGTAGGGTCTTACTTCTCCTTTCACTTCTAATGGTGTAATTTGGGAACAGCTCTAGAGAAGTCAAGCAGAATGAGAAGCAAATCAGGCCCATATAGAGAAATGGTCCATCAGCTGCCAGGAGATGGACTGACCCTATCCAAGTAATTTATGCCAATGCCAAACTTTGCCTTAAATTCAGTCATAGTTCTTGTTCCCACTACTTCTGGTTTCTACTCATTAGATCTTCCATTAGCCAATCTTCCATTTTCTCTGTAGTAGAAAATCTTCCCATTAATGTCTAGCTGAGAGCCATCCAGTTTTTAAACAGCAAATTGCGTAGAGCATAATACATTTATTACAGTTCACAGAAAGCAGCAGAGAGGAGACAGAGACAGATGAGTTTATCAGTTCAGAGTTATAGAGCTAAATATTAACATAGTTTTGTGGTATTATCTTCCAGCTTTGCTTTGCTTTTTTTGGGGTGGGAGAAAATGCACATGAAAGTCTACAGTGGGTGGGGGAAATCATTTACCTGGCAGAGAGTAATAGTTACTTCAGGGCAATACAGTAAATCTGTTTAATGCACACATACTATTGGGAGCTGCTTTCAAAAAAGATGACAGGATTATTGGCATGCTTGATTGCATCCAGCATAATATTTGGAATCATCACAGCTTCAAATTCAATGGACTTGAGAAGATTTCAGAAGACAATGAGCTAACATGAATAATATTATTATTATTAGCATTTATATTGCAGTAGCATCCAGAGGCCATAATCACATTAGAGCTCTATTGAGCTAGGTGATGTATATACATAATAAGTGACAGCCCTTGCCATAAAGAGTTTACCATCTATTGTAAAAGTTACTGCTAAGTGGAGGAGGACAAGCTGCAGACATGATATGCCTTGTTTTTAGTAAGGCTTTGATACAGTGCCACCCACATGACATTCTCAGGAGCAGGAAAGTCCCGAGGTGGGCTGCGGCAGCTGGCGCCCCAGGCGGAATGCACGATTGCTGCCCCCACCTGCACGGCTGTCAATGGACTGACATCATCATCGAGCACCCCGTGCATCCCGTCATGTCATCATTGGGCGCCCCGGGCGCCCTATTGAGGCGGCGCCCTAGGCGACGGCCGAGTCCACCTCTGCCCCCACCTGCACGGCTGTCAATGGACTGACATCATCATCGAGCACCCCGTGCATCCCGTCATGTCATCATTGGGCGCCCCGGGCGCCCTATTGAGGCGGCGCCCTAGGCGACGGCCGAGTCCACCTATAGTCATGGGCTGCCCCTGCTCAGAAGCAAACTAGGGAAACATGGTGTAGATTTGTAAATGGTTCACACTCCTGTGAGTGTCCCTTTGTGGTGGAGGACATGTCTGCAATTTTTGGCCCGGCTATTCTCCAGGAACAGATATGTCCTTGAAAGGTGTCAGGTCCTTTGCCTGGGACCAGGCATCTTCTTATCCCCTTGCTGCAGCTGCTGTGGACTCAGGGGGACCCAGGCCTGCCCACTGGCCCAAGAACCCTGTAAGTAGCAGTTGCCTGCTAAGTGCCTCTAGTGCATGTTGCTCCTGGGTCACTTTCCCAAGCCACTGCTCCAAGGGTTGCCAGATGTCCAGTTTTGAAGTGGACAGTCCAGTATTTG